GCTTTACACTATATCATTACCCCAGCAGACCATTGAACACTCCGAAACATTCTCAGCTTCCTGGGAAGCATACAGTCCAAGCAGCCGATTTTATTAAGCGCTCAAACACTTACAAACTGACAAGATCTTTCGCTGTCTATAGCCGGGTACCCATACCATACCATAGTTAAATCAAGATAAAAACAAATCCCTCTGTTTAATCTTCTCAAGTCTTTGCTTGCATGTCAGCCTTTAATTATTTGTGTAGGTAATTTTTACACCCCCATCTGCTCAATTTAGATCATTTAGGAGGCTGGCTTCTGACCCTGCCTGTCATGCAGGGCCAACGTGGGCTGAGAGGGATACAATGGTACTTCCAAGCAGAAAGACTGAGATACTCGATACAAATTTTCTTCCCTCTCAGGAATCGCGAACTCGGGTCTCCTTTGTGTGTCAGCGAAGTGTCTATACGACTACAGCACAGTAGAGGTGGGCGGTTATGTTTCGTATTATTGAAAGCTAAGAATCGTAGGAATCGACTCCGAATCCAATCCAATTACTTTCTCATTAAGTGATTTCTTCCGGTGGTTACCTGGTTGGCTTAGAAAATCTTCAGAATTTAGGATACCCTTGATTTAGGAACACTGCAAATCACAAACTTTTTATTTTCCAAAAATACATTCTTTATAATAGAAGATTTTAATGAATAAAGTTTGGTAACCGGTGATTTGTGTAGAAAGGAATCGAGACCTTTATTTCGTATCACTAATCGCGGGAACCGGTTCCAGAATCAATTCTTCGCCCAGCTCTACAGCACAGGCTCTCTGGTGTTTGCGAGTCTTAACGTTGGATGGCCAACAAAATTTACAAGCCCATAAATGAAGGTCACTGCAAACTGATATTCCGACATGTTTTTTTTTTTTTAATGTTAGCTGAAAATGGGATAATAATTAAAAAGATTTAAAAAATAAATAGGGGATTTACAGGATATGCCTACCTACACCTAATGGGCCAGGATCTGGCAATAAACTTATAAAGATGCGTCTTATCTTATCTAAAATATTTAAAAAGTTGACCTTTTTCCGTCAACACAGCACTTTTAGCCCATGCCAGTGAAACACGACTCAAAAGACAGGTGAGTACTATGCCTTCCTTGGTGTGTACTTTTAGAGTCTCACGTGGTGACGTCGACTGTCTTGGGATTTGTTTTAGTAAGAGTTTTACGGCACTCACAACACAATAAGGTCATATAAGTACCGAAGATTAGAGGTGATACAAGAGAGTTACAAGCACAAAACAGGAGGACGATAGATTTTTGATAGGAAAGAAGGAGCAAACCACACCAGAGCACCCGCCAACCACCCACTTCTATGGACTGTAAGGCGCAAAAAAGATTGCTGCTGAGCGGAGATGAAGAGGTTTTGTGCAGCCTCAAAGTGTTTGCTTGTGAGTGGGGGATATGCATGCAACGAATGTTATGTATCTGTTTATTAATTTATTTGGGGCGGGGTGGGGTCCCGCTGTCTTTTTATAAACGAGCAATTTGTTGGCAAGGTTATGGTAAATCATTAATTTCAGCGAGCCTGTGCTTGCACCCAAAGGATGGGTGGTGTATGGCTTTTAAGTGTGGATTTTACTGAAAAACGTTGGCTAAAGGCATAAAAGATGTAAATTTTAGGTTTCCACGGACTCTCAAGCTAAGGAAATAACTTAACTTCGGCGGCCATTTTCTGCCTAATTTTGACCTCTGAAACCAGGTGAACTCCGTCTCCTCCAATCGCCAATATCTGGTCTTATGTCCAAGATAGCAGATATGTGAGGCGGCGTGGTGGAATCAGGCTCTCGTCATAATAATCAAAGTGAAGAAACTTGCATTTTGCCGCAGATTTGTGAATTTTAATCAATTTTTTGTTTTTTGACGCAACACCTTTCATGCCCTTTTAAGAACTCATTTCTCTGTGGATTTTTCGGAAAAACGTTGATTAAAGACAGAAAAAAGGTAAATTTTCAGTTACCACGGACTCTTATACTAAGGAAATAACTAAACTAATCTTTGGCGGCCATTTTCTCACTAATTTCACCTCTGAAAACAGGAGACCCCCACCTCCTTCATTCGCAAATATCTCGACTTGTATTTAAGATAAATGGATATTTTTTTCATCCAAGTAAAGACAAGTGAACAAGCTTTATGATGATACCAATAACTCTACATGCCCAAATATTGACGAGAGCCTGATTCCATCACGCTGCCTCAAATATAATTTTCATTGAAAGCAAAGCAAATGGACAGGCTTTAAGATGATACCAATAACTCCATATGCCCAAAAATTGACGAGCGCCTGATTCCCCCTTTTTATGACATATTTGTTTTACGATGAAAAAGGTTATGTTTAGATCCCAAACTGGACACGATAATTAATTGTTCAGTGCCACAGCTGCCTACGCCAAAGCTAAATTGGGACCCGACGTTGTGTTCTTGGGAAAGGCACTTTACACGAATTTTCCTCACTTCACTCAGGTGGAAATGGGTACCCGGCTACAGACAGCGAAAGATCTTGTCAGTTTGTTAGTGTTTGAGCGCTTAATCAGCTGCTTGCACTGTATGCTTCCCGGGAAGCTGAGAATGTCTCGGAGTGTTCTATGGTCTGCTGGGGTAATAATATAATGTAAAGCGCATAGAGCCTGCTGTTGAGCGGGGATATGCGCTATGCAAATGCTATTTAATATTATTATTATTATTATTATTATTATTATTATTATTATTATTATTATTATCATAATCATTATTATAATAAATGAAATATGAGCTGAAAATAGATTGTCACAGTCTAAAATATTCTTATTGTTTTTTAGAATTCTAAAAATGGTTTCTTATGTTGCGCTGGTGCGCTGTGAGATCGTGTTAAACAGGTGAACGTTTGTCTTCCATTTTGCGGTACTGTCTCTGTGCGGGTACTTTGCACTTGCTGTGACCCCGGTGACCTCAGTATGTTCTACTCAGAGTTATTTACGTTATTAGAAGACTGATTCTTTTTTCTTCTGTCTTTCAGTCTACTGTCCTCTTTTACTCCTTTACGCAACCTGTCTGTTTTCTTTCCTTTTGTCTGTTTATCTGTCTGTCTGTCTGCCTGTCTGTCTGTCTGTCTGTCTGTCTGTCTGTCTGTCTGTCTGTCTGTCTATCTGTCTGTCTGTCTGTCTGTCTGTCTGTCTCTCACTCAATGTCTCTCTTTCTGTCTGTATGTGTGTGTGTGTGTGTGTATGTGTGTGTGTGTGTGTTTGTGTGTGTTTGTGTGTGTATGTGTGTGTGTGTTTGTGTGTGTATGTCTGTCTGTCTATCTGTCTGTCTGTCTGTCTGTCTGTCAGTCTCTCACTCTATCTCTCTCTTTCTGTGTGTGTGTGTGTGTGTGTGTGTGTGTGTGTGTGTGTGTGTGTGTGTGTGTGTGTGTGTGTGTGAGCTTTTGCGTGTATGTCTTTGTGTGCCTCACCGTCTCTCTTTCTCTTTTTCTCTCTTTATCACTCTGTCTTTCTCCCTCCCCCCCCCCACCCTCTCCTTTCTCTCACACCCACATTCCTCTTAGCCCCTCAGGAAAAGTCTGCTTGTACTTGTACGTCCTATCTCCCTCCGTACATGTCAGACCTCACAAGCAAAGAGGAAGCAGCCCGCCTCCTAAATGACCAAAATTGTCGATGGGGACGTAAAAGATCTAGTTCTACAGTTACAATGACTAATTCAAGTCACACACAAAAAAATGTTCAAACATGAAAGCAAGCCTCTTTTATTTTCAACATTATTTTATTTTTCATGTCCATACTTCTACATCTCATTCAATCACCCCCCCCCCAAAAAAAAAAAAAAAAAAAAAAAAAAAAAAAATAAAAATAAAAATAAAAAATAAAGTGTAAATGAATGAATACAACAATTTTGTGATGAGATTTTTGCCTTTTTAAAGAAACATTTTGCTTTTCATATTTCATTACAACACGTATAAATATTTAAGCTCGCATGTTGAATTGTCACATTTATATAGACGTGCAGTCTTCAATCTATCTGTATGTTCTCTATCCTTTAATGTTACTCTCCCATAGAGCTGGGCGAAGGGTCGATTCCGGAACCGATTCCCACGATTAACGCTACAGAAGAAAAGTTCCGACTCCTTTTTACGTAAACCAACGGTTACAAGTTACTTTAATCTCTAAAATCTTCTTTTTTAAAAAGTTGATGTTTCGTAGTGTTCGGAAATCAAGGTTTTCCTAAACCCTGAAGATGTTCGGAGCCAACCAGGTAACCACCGGAAGAAATCACATCATTAGAAAGTATGTATTTGGGTTCGGAGTCGATTCCTACGATTCCTAGCTTTCAATAATCGGGAACCTTCGCGCCCAGCTCTACAGTGCCAACGAGCGACTGGAAACCATAGTGCGTGCAATGGGTTGGATCTTCAACGTCTAAAGTAAAAGACGCCAGACCGGTATTCCCGTTAGGATTTCTTCTAAACGTTCCTCGAATATTTTGGATTTTCTGCTAAGATGCCGTATCCCACTCGGCTTGAGTCTACTCAGACAGACAGGATAGAAGCAGCCAGCTTCCTAAATTATCTAAATGTGTCCATGGAGGCGTGACATATTTAGATTACAAAACTCTGTAAATTATGATCACGCTCTTGGCTACGGGACGTTCACTTTAGTTTAGTTTTAGTAAGGTTTTACGGCGCTCGCAACTGCTTAAAGGTCATATGAGCTCCCAGGGGTAGATGTCAACAGAGAAGTCTACACGGGGAATCAGGCTTACACAGCTCACCTCTCAAGCTTCAACAAAAATGACGACAGTAAGGATCAGGAAAGAAAAAGCAGCAGTTCCCCCTATGTTGTTTCGGCACAGTATGAGCCCGACATTGATAAATCAGCCCATTTACAATTCTACTGTGCACAAAATCATGTTAATATCCCCCCCCCCCCCATGGGAAGGGCCTAAAGACACTTCAGTCAGTAGCACCGCCCTAGTTTGGGGGGGGGGGGGGGGTTGTTCCCTGCCGACAAGAGAACTCATACATGTCTAAACGACACACAAATCATGACTACGCTAAAAGAGAAAAAAGCAACCCTTTACAAAAATGATCTCGTCTAAACTACTGTAATTTCCAAACACACCAGCTAACTTTGTCAAGATCTTCTCATGCAGTTCCCGAAGTGTCATGCATAGACATATGATTGTTGAGATGCAGCACAGAACTGTCCTTCATCCGGCCTTGAAAGGCAGGGTTCTCGTACCCATGGTTCGCCTGGTGATGGTTGCTATGGTTCGCGTGCTGTTGGTTGCCATGGTTTGCGTGGTGATGGTTGCCATGGAAACTCCGGTCGTTGACAGGCCAGCCAGAATGATGTCCCCTGAAAAGAATCCGTCCGTTCTTAGCCGATCTACTGTAGTCGCCTCCCCTGTCGCCAGTTTGTCTCACATCGGCGGGGATTTCGTAGTATTGTTCCTTGTCACTTGATAGGTTATTCGCCTCTGGTTTCGGCCCTGGGTACATAATATCATTCCTAGCATCGTTGTAATCCTTGCCGGTTCCGTCTTTCGTATTATCACGGTGTGGGTTTCTCCTATCTCTATTTTTACCCCCAGTGTAGAAGACAGCAGCCCCCAGACTGAGTCCATTTCCGATACTCCTCTCCGGTATAGGACTCTGTTTCTCATTAATCTCCCAATTCACATCCGCATGATTCACCGCGTCAGAAAAACCAACCTTTCGAGGATCCGATCCCGGTATATCGGATATCCCAATCAACCGGTTCTCCTCGGTTCCGTCCGAGGATCGGCTGCTCCGAGTCCGAGGCAGCGACACGCTTCTGCTCTGGTCTCCGGGTAGATACTTCTGGTCCAGCGATCTGAGAGCGGCCAGCTTTGACGAGGCAGTTTGCAGGGACGGGTCCGTGGACAGCCCGGGGATGAACTTCATGGCCACGCGAGAGCCGTGT